GTATATATTTATTTATTTATTTTATTTTTTTCTCTGTGAGCTATGATACGGTTAGATTGCAAAAAAAAAATAAAAATAAATAAATAAAAGACAATTTGTCTTACAAAGATGTAAAAAAATGTCCTTGGACTCATTCTTTATCTAAAAGAACAAACGAAGAAAGTTTATTTACTGAACACTAACAGCATGTGTCTCACAATGACATAGATATGTCAAATAAAGGGTACATGCATTAGCAAGAAAATAGTAGTTGACCCAGAAAAATTATAAATCCCCAACGGCATGATTGCTTTATTACACACACACACATGCACACATGCACACACATGCACGCACACACACATTTATGTAATTGTGGTTTCCACCTCTAAGATATAAAAGCAGCTAGTGCTAAGTTAATTACTGGATCTCAAAATGCCATTATTCTGTGTCAGAAACATTCTTATTGCTTATTTTCTCACCAGTTATGACAAAGCTTTAAGTGCTAAATCAAAGACTCCTCATGTTCCAGCTTATTTTTTTTCATATGCCTTTGCTGACTAGGTGGTGTGACTAAAAATCATACATGGCAGTTTTTATGTTCTCATTAGTCACAGCTAATTAATTGAAAAATGATAGGATATATGTTTTGTTTAGCATAACCAAGCACAACACATCTGATGAATTTATACTCATCTACTGATGTCCATTATGGTTCTAATGGGAATAGCAATAAGTCAGCCAACTCAGCAGTATTTTTTATTTAATGTAATTATGGTATTTCACAGTTAAAATCCCTGTCTTTATTTGTCATTTAAATGAATTTGAAGACTCAAGACAGCAGGCAACAGATGCCACACAGATGGAGCAGGAAGACATGGAGTTAACAAGTTACAGTTACGTGGGAGCACCCGGATGTACAAATAAACCTGAGAGCTGTATTAATTAATTATTGCTGAAATGGATGACATCAGATCTGAAAATAGGAAATCAGCTCACTTGGACTCAGTTTGTGTTAATTATKAAGAATTTCTTTTAGCTCATCCACCAATAAAACAGTGACCCCACCATACACACACCACTACCACACATTTCTGAACAACTGAACTAATACAAGTAAACTGGAGTAAATTACAGCTTGCAATAAAATACACTACAACCTTTTTTTAAATGAGACAACAAGCCCACTTTATAGTGTTACTATTTTAAGTGTAATTATTTATTTTAGCTGACGACATTCAACATTGCTATCAATAAATTGCTTTTTTTTAAAACAAAAAAAATGTTTCTCTGTCTAAAATAGGTTTAAAAACATGAACAACATCTTGAGAGGAAAAAAAATGTTATTTGTTGTTTTGATCAAAA